TTTATTTCAGAACAATGAAAAGATGGAATAAAAACAAGTCAAAGTGAAATAGAAATGAAATACTTTTTGCATTTTTAAAAAGTAAGGAGTAGAAATTACAGATAATTGAATTAAAATGTAAGAAGTAGAAGTAAAACGTGGTCTGAAAAATAATTACTCCACTAAAGTACAAATAACCAAAATTTCTACTTAAGTAAAGTAACAAAGTATTTGTACTTAGTTACTTGACACCTCTGTTTGTATATTTGCATATACACAGAGTGACATATTCTGCTTGAAATGCTCATGCAGCATCCATGCAGACACTCACCACTGTCTGTGGGCCTCRATTCTACCGTGCAGCTTGTTAAATGGAACTTTTTTTTTCTAAGCAGGAAGATCAAACGAGGGCTGGCAGACCCATAAGCTTTGAAAATGGCACTTAGTGCTGCTCTGATGGATTACAAAAACTTACATTTTTAATTCTGAAGGATGAARCAAAACAAAAGGTTTCTGCTCTTTTGTAGAAATGCATTTAGTGGAATTCACATGCCATTGAAAAATCAAGAACTAAAATGCTTTAAATCTTTCTTAGATAAAGGTAAATCCCATCCATACGTCTGCATCAGAACACAGAAAATATGCTTATTTATTGAGGTTCAAAAAATGTGTATCGTCTGCAAGAAACTGTTGGTGCTTTGATAGTACTTCAAATATAATATTTATATGTCAACACAAGTACGCGGGATAATTTCAAGATGCATTTAATCTTGAAAAATGTCTCTGTGTTAATATTTCTCTTCCTGAAATGCTATGTTGACATTTTTAAGAAACATGGACACAAAACTAATAAACCTTAAACTGACATCTAAATTTCTTGTTAGCAAGCTAACTGCACTTTGAATATTTTAAATATTGATTTCATCTAGTCAAAGATCATGGGAGTGTGTAGACCCATAAATGATTCAGATCATTTTTCTTTTCCTAATGAATTCTCTCAGGGTTTAAAAAAACTGACCAAACTGGGTAAGAAAAAGCAGAATTCATATATATACAGTGGTTTGCAAAAGTATTCATACCCCTTGAACTTTTCCATATTTTGTCACATTACAACCACAAACATAAATAT